CCTTATGAGGTAGGGTCAGTACCTTGTTTTTCACATGAGGAAGCAGAAGCTCAGAGAGATGAAGTCATCTGTGGCCACACAGTCATTAAGTGGCAGAATTATAATTTGAACCAATTCTGCCTGGTTCCAAAACCTGTGCTATTAATTACATGTGACAAACATAATGATTTCCTGCCAGTGATGTCCATGCCCTGATTCCTGAAACCCATGAATATATCACATTACAAGACAAAAGGGGCTTGCAGGTATGATTAAGTTGAGGATCTTGATGGGGAGATTATTGGGCCCCTCAATGGGCTCAATGTACCAACAAGTGTCTTATAAGAGGAAGGCAGGAGGACTGGGTTAAAGGAAGACATGAGAGCAGGGTGAAGGTCAGAGGAAGCCAGGAGTCAGTGAATACAGGGTCCTTTAGCTGGAAAACATGAGGAAACCAAGTCTCCCCTCAGGACCTCCAGGAGGAACCAGCCTTGTTAATACATTAACTTACACCCGGAGACAGTGATTTCAGACTCCTCATTCCCAAAATTGTGAGATAATACTTTGTGGTGCATTAAGCGGCACTAGGAGATTAATTTATCACTGGTACTCTAATCTGTATTAAGTATGATTTATAATTTGCATAAAGTATTACAGTTTGAGGAGTCCCAGCATCTCTATCTCTGTAGTGACCCTAATAATGCCTACTTCATAGAGATAAAGGGATCATAAGAGTGTGTCTGGTACAAAGTCGTTGCCCTGTAAATGTTAGCTATCGGTAAAAATTATAGTTATTCTCTAGAAACCTCTAGTCATTGCCTTTAGGCCCTTAGGAGATAGCCTTTTAGTTTGTGTGTGGGTTCCTGGGTTCCTTGGTAGGCAAAGGAATGTTATTGCCCTGGAGCATCACAGCCACAAGCCCTGAGTGACAGCTGACAATGTCAGGACCCACAGCAAGGGAGTCAGAGGGCTTCATCCTGATGTTGCTCTGAGGGGAGTCTGGAGGTAGAGAAGTTCTAGTGTAAGGGGATGACAAAACAACACCTACCCTCAACTCTCACTGCAAAGTGCTGAAGTTTTCTTTATTCTCTTAAACAAACATCCTCACTTCTATTTTTCAGATCATTTACTTTCAGTCAAAACATCTCCACCATGCCTCATTCTCAGGGTCATGGACTTTCTTACTAGTCAATACATGTAGTCAAGAAATGTTTATTGAATACCTGCTATGAGAAAAGCATGGTGCTGGTGAGAGGGTATACTATCTACAGGAGAAGACAGACATTATTAAACAGATAAATACACTTGGAAATATTAAGTACTAACCGTGACAAGTGCTATCTAGGAGAACTGGGTGAGAGGTAGAACTTAGAACTAAGGAGGGTAGATGTGGTGGTGCTCTATCTGGACAGGAAGCACAGGGAAAGCAATTTATTCATTCATTCTTTCAATAAATCAATCTACAAATGTTTGTTGAGTGCTTATTATATGTTCTAGGCATTGGCGTACAATGGTGAAGAAGAGTTTTTGCTCGTCTGGAGCATGTGAATGCCTGTGAAAGAGAAAGACCATGTGTGCAAGTGCAAGCCAGCATGGGTATGTGAGTAAACTGATTATAAATGCATAAACAGTAAATCCCCATTGTTCACAGATTTTATATTTGCAAATTCATATGCATAAATTAAACAAATTTTATTTTAATCCCAAAATCAAAAGTCATGGTATTTTCATGGTCATTAATGGATATGCTTATGGTGGCAAAAAGTTTGACTTGCCCCATGGGCGCATTCCCAGCTGAGGTTAAACAAAGTGATCTACCATCTTATATCAGCTCTCAAACTGTAAACAAGTGTCCTTTCCAATGTCAATTTAGTGCTACATTTTCACCGTTTTGTGCTTTTTGTTGGTGATTTCACTGTTTAAAATGGCCCCAAGAGCAGTGCTGAAGTACTGTCTCCTGCTCCTAAGTGCAAGAAGGCTATGATGTGCATTATGGAGAAAACATGTATTAGATAAGTATTGTGAGTTCACTGTTAATGGATCAACAACATATATTAGAAAAGGTGTTGTTAAACAGACACACATGTAAAACAAGGTTATGTATTGATTGATTAATGAAAATTTGTGACCAGAGGCTCACAGGAACCTAACTATGTATTTCCTCTAGGAGCAATGGCTCACTATTTGCTAATTCAGTGTCCACAGAAGCTGTATAGGACTTCCAAGAAGAGTAAGAATTGGCTGTAATTTCAGAATTATATTGATAAGTACTATGAAGACAATAAAACAGAATACTAAGGAAAGGAGAGGTCAAGAAAGCCTCTTGCAGAGGTGGGACTGGAGTCCAGATATGAATGATAAGAAGGAGATAGTTACATAAAAATCTGGGATAGAGCCATCCAGGCACTGGGAACAGCATGTGCAAGGCCCCAAGGCAGGAGTAAATCTGGTATGTTCTGTGCTCAGCATTGCTGGTGGGCTATAAATAGGGGGGCGAGGACAGAGACACAGTCAGAGAGGAAGGCAGAGCCAGGACCACCAAAATGACAAAGTAAAGCCACGGAGAGTTTGAGCAGGAAGGGGATGTGGCCAGCCTGTGCAGTGCAGAAGGAGGCCGAGTGGAAGCAGTGATACTGATGAAGGCCTAAGGAACTAATCTAAGTGAGAGGTGTGGAGATAATGTGAAGTAGATGGGTTTGAGATCTATTTTAGAGGAAGAACTGACAAGAGTTAGGATGGCTTAGATGGGAGTGAGAATGTGTTGAGGGTGAGAAAGGAGTCATAAGGCTTATTTAAAGCAACTTTTAATATGCAGGACAACTGAGGTATAACATATGATTTGTATTATCGCATAGGCCTGTCCCAGTGCCCCTTAGTGTTCGTTGACATCCTCCCACTGTCTCCCTGCTGCCCTGGCCCAAGCTACCACCATCTTTTTCCTGGATAACTGCAAGAGCTTCCTAACTAGTCTCTGCTTCTGTCCTTGACCGTGCAGTTTGCAACAGGGCAGCCGGGGTGAGGATTTAAAAACATGTTCAGATCCCATCACTCCTATGAGTAAACGGTGGCAATAGCTCCCCATCCTACAGGACTAAAATCTTCACAAGGGTTAACAAGGCTTTGAGATCTCCCTCCTCCCCACCCTCACTGTTTCCTTTCTGTTTGGAAACATAAAGCACATCCTCTGGATCAACACTAAGAGGTAAATTTCAATAACAACAAAACCAAGTAAATCCTACTGGATTAAGATTATTTAGCCTCTGAGAGTAAGAACAACATGAGTTTGGTTGTCTAAGTTCTAGTTTATTTGCTTAAAAATCAGCTGCTTTCCTTGAAATAATGGAATCTTATGATGAGGCACAGATAAGTATTGTCAGTGAGCCAAAGTCTGAAAAATATTATTCTAATAAAAGTAAAAACTTGGAAATGTATAACACATTATAGTAACAAAAGGCCTCTCTACAGGAACCTAACTATGTATTTCCTCTAGGAGCAATGGCTCACTATTTGCTAATTCAGTGTCCACAGAAGCTGTATAGGACTTCCAAGAAGAGTAAGAATTGGCTGTAATTTCAGAATTATATTGATAAGTACTATGAAGACAATAAAACAGAATACTAAGGAAAGGAGAGGTCAAGAAAGCCTCTTGCAGAGGTGGGACTGGAGTCCAGATATGAATGATAAGAAGGAGATAGTTACATAAAAATCTGGGATAGAGCCATCCAGGCACTGGGAACAGCATGTGCAAGGCCCCAAGGCAGGAGTAAATCTGGTATGTTCTGTGCTCAGCATTGCTGGTGGGCTATAAATAGGGGGGCGAGGACAGAGACACAGTCAGAGAGGAAGGCAGAGCCAGGACCACCAAAATGACAAAGTAAAGCCACGGAGAGTTTGAGCAGGAAGGGGATGTGGCCAGCCTGTGCAGTGCAGAAGGAGGCCGAGTGGAAGCAGTGATACTGATGAAGGCCTAAGGAACTAATCTAAGTGAGAGGTGTGGAGATAATGTGAAGTAGATGGGTTTGAGATCTATTTTAGAGGAAGAACTGACAAGAGTTAGGATGGCTTAGATGGGAGTGAGAATGTGTTGAGGGTGAGAAAGGAGTCATAAGGCTTATTTAAAGCAACTTTTAATATGCAGGACAACTGAGGTATAACATATGATTTGTATTATCGCATAGGCCTGTCCCAGTGCCCCTTAGTGTTCGTTGACATCCTCCCACTGTCTCCCTGCTGCCCTGGCCCAAGCTACCACCATCTTTTTCCTGGATAACTGCAAGAGCTTCCTAACTAGTCTCTGCTTCTGTCCTTGACCGTGCAGTTTGCAACAGGGCAGCCGGGGTGAGGATTTAAAAACATGTTCAGATCCCATCACTCCTATGAGTAAACGGTGGCAATAGCTCCCCATCCTACAGGACTAAAATCTTCACAAGGGTTAACAAGGCTTTGAGATCTCCCTCCTCCCCACCCTCACTGTTTCCTTTCTGTTTGGAAACATAAAGCACATCCTCTGGATCAACACTAAGAGGTAAATTTCAATAACAACAAAACCAAGTAAATCCTACTGGATTAAGATTATTTAGCCTCTGAGAGTAAGAACAACATGAGTTTGGTTGTCTAAATTCTAGTTTATTTGCTTAAAAATCAGCTGCTTTCCTTGAAATAATGGAATCTTATGATGAGGCACAGATAAGTATTGTCAGTGAGCCAAAGTCTGAAAAATATTATTCTAATAAAAGTAAAAACTTGGAAATGTATAACACATTATAGTAACAAAAGGCCTCTCAATAATCATGCCATGTTGGATTTTAAGGGACTGCTTGGTTCAAGTCTATTTCTCAGTTTGAAATTCCCTGTTTTCTCTTTAAAAATTTTCATTTTAAATAATGTAATTTTATAGCCATGTACATTTCAGCCTGTGTACATGTTGATCAATCGCTTCAATTTGTAGTATTCTTGCTTGCTTATTATATATTAAAATATTATAAAATTGGGGACAAATTCTAAATTATATTTCCACTTACCCATGCTCTCCATATTCATAGGTTCTGCTTCTTCTCTAACTAGAATATAATAAAATGATGTCAAATTTACATTTTTGAATCAAATAAACATCTTAGTTTATTACAATATTTTACAAAGCCTCAAAACATGAAACATAAATGTAAATCTACAATGGAGACTTGAGCTAATTCATGAATAATTGAATCTTAATAATTGTCTTTTCACCAAATTATCTTTAAGTGATATGCTTGCTATGGCATTCATTATATGTCATTTAATTGACATGTAATGAGATGAATCAGAACTAAGGATAAATCTGCATAGTTTAAATTCCACATGTGTTTGTCTTTATAACAGCAAAAATATTTAAGGTAATTTGATATGTAAAATGTTAGGTAGAAGAGCAGCTGGGGAAGGGGAAGACAAGGTTCTCAAAGGAAATAACACCGATGGGGGTTCCCATTGAAGACAACAAAGGCTTTGCAGGCAGATAACTTCCTTGCCCATTGGGACCAGGCTAAACCAGTCCCAAACAGATCACAACATGGGAGCCATCCAACAAACTAAGAACTGTCCAAACCACCCCTCATCATAACCTTATTAAAAAAAAAATAGCAGTTTTGCTTCCCCCTCTCAAATGTCCACCCTATGGTGGGCTTTTTCCATATGGTTTTTGGGAAAAGACAGGCACACCAAGAGGCATGGGTGTGTAACTAGAACGGTCAATCAAAGAGGAACCTCAAGGCTAGGACATGATAAATAGACCCTCCCCTAAAAGATCCGGGCCTCTGTCTACTTTGACTCTGGCCTACTTCACCCTTGGAGTTTATTCAGATAAAACCTATTGTGCCTCTGCCTTTCGGTTTGTTTCAGCGGGGACAAGAACCCAGGGAACAAAGTTGACTCACAACAAAACCATGATCATTTTGACTTCTAACATGTATACAAATATTAAATCCATAAAAATCCTATTAATGAAAAAATAATCCTACCAGGTAGCGTTGGTTTATTTTTACTGTGTTTTGCCTTTTTCCGGCCACCTGGGCTTTTTTGTTTTGGAGATTTTGGAGCCATGGCTCTGATTTAAGCTGCATAAAAAGATAATAATAGTAAATTCTGTTTTATAGTGTCAAATAGTAAGCATTATCAATTAGTAAGTAATAATATGTTTTCTAAGCTTTGTCTTTGCCTAAATCAACATGTGTTTTCATAGAATGGGTGTACTGTGACCAAAGGTTTACTGCAGCCATCTCACTGATAAGATCTTGCCATTCCATGGGGCCATTCAACTGAAGTAGAAGGAATCGGTCTGCCAGCTCTTCTAGGTTTCAGCCCCAGGCCTTCCCATGGAAGCATGACAGAGGATATTGGTTTCTCTGCCTCTTGCTGCAATTTCCATCCCAGGGATTTACTTTGCATTGCCCTGTCCCTACTCCCAAACAGGTGCCCAAACTGCAAATACAGATTAAAGTCCATGGGCAGACACAGGCCCACAACATGCATACACACACGTAATTTTTTTTATTGCAGTGTCGTTGATATACAATCTTATGTCGGTTTTAAGTATACAATACAGTGGTTCAATAGTTATGCATATTATTAAATCTTCATCCCCACTAGTATAGTTACTGTCTGTCAACATAGGAAGAAATTACAGAATGGTAGGCAATATTCTCCATGCTGTACCACCATCCCAGTGACCAATTTATTATGATTGAGAATTTTTGTTCCCCTTTATCCCCCTAATGCTCCTCACCCACCCACCCCAACCCCTCCCCATGGTAGCCACCAACTTCTCAGTATCTATGAGTCTACTGCCATTTTGTTCATTCTGTTATACTTTATTTTTAGTTTTCACAAATAAATGAAATCATATGGTATTTGTCTTTCACTGCCTGGCTTATTTCACTTAGCATAATATTCCCTAGATCCATCCATGTTGTTGAAAATGGCAGGATTTCTTTTTTTAAATGACTGAAAATATTCCATTGTGCATATGTACCACGTCTTCTTTATCCATTCATCTATTGATGGACAGTTAGGTTGCCTTCATATCTTGACTATTATAAATAATTCAACAATAAACATAGGGGTGCATATATCTTTTCAAGTCAGGGATTTTGTTTTCTTCAGGTAAATTCCTAGAAGTGGAATTACTGGGTTGAATGGTATTTCTATTTTTAGTTTTTGAGGAACATCCATACTGCTTTCCACAGTGACTGCCCCAATTCACATCCCACCAACAGTGTACAGGGTTTCCATTTCTCCACATCCTCACCAACATTTGTTATTTCTTGTTTTTGGAGGGTGGCTATTCTAACAGGAGTGAGGTGGTATCTCATGATTTGAGTTTGCATTTCCATGATGATTAGCGATGTGGAGCATTTTTTCATGTACCTGTTGGCCATCTGTATTTCTCCTTTGGAGAAATGTCTGTTCAGGTCCTCTGCCCATTTTTAATCAGGTTATTAGATTCTTTTGGTGTTGAGGCATGTGAGCTTTTTATGTATTTATGATGTAAAACCCCTCATCAAATGAGCTGTTTATGAAAATATTCTCCTATACTATGGAACGCCTTTTTGTTCTGCTGATGATGTCCTTTGCTGTACAGAGCTCTTTAATTTGATGTAGTCCCACTTGCTCATTTTTTATTTTGTTTCTCTTGCCTAGAAAGATATTCCCAGAAAAAAATTGCTCATAATTATGTTCAAGAAATTTGTACCTATGTTTTCTTCTAAGAGTTTTATGGCTTCCTGTCTTACTTTGGGGTCTTCGATCCATTTTGAGTTTACTTTTGTGTATGGAGTTAGACTGTAACCCAGTTTCATTTTCTTGCATGTGTCTGTCCAGTGTTCCCAACAACAGCTGTTGAAGAGGTTGACCACATGTGCATGAGTTTACATCTGGGCTTTCTAGTCTGTTCTATTGATCTATGGGTGTGTTCTTGTACCAGTACCATACTGTTTCAATTACTGTAGCTTTGTAGTATAGCTTGAAGTCAGGGAGCATAATACCCTCAGTTTTGTTCTTCTTTCTCAGGATGACTTTGGCTACTTGGGGTCTTTTATGGTTCCACATGAATTTTAGAACTATTTTCTCTAGATCATTGAAAAATGCTGTTGTTATTTTGATAGGATTGCATTGAATCTGTAGATTACTTTGGGCAGGATGGCTATTTTTACAATATTAATTCTTCCTATCCAACGCATATACAGATTTCCATTTATTGGTGTCTTCTTTAATTTCTTTCATCAGTGTCTTATAGTTTTCAGAGTATAGGTCTTTCAACTCCTTGACTAGGTTTATTCCTAGGTATTTTTGATGCAGTTTTAAATGGAGTTGTTTTCCTGATTTTTCTGCTTGTTTATTGTTAGTATATAAGAACACAACAGATTTCTGTGGATTAATTTTGTTTCCTCCAACTTTGCTGAACCCAGTTATTCTAAAAGTTTTTGGCAGAGTCTTTAGGGTTTTCTATGTATAGTGTCATGTCATCTGCAAATAGTGACAGTTTAACTTCTTCCTTATCAATTTGGATGCCTTTTATCTATTGTCTTATCTGATTACTTTGATAAGACCTCCAGTACTATGTTGAATAAAAGTAGTGAGAGTGGACATCTTTGTCTTGTTCTCTATTTTAGAGGAAAAGCTTTTCACCTTTTTGCCATTGAGAAAGATGTAGCTGTGGGTTTGTCATATATGGTCTTTATTATGTTGAGGTACATACTCTCTAAACCCATCTTGTTGAGAGTTTTTATCATGAATGGATGTTTAATTTTGTCAAATGCTTTTCCAGCATCTATTGGGATGGTCATGTGGTTTTTATCCTTCTTTTTGTTAAAGTGGTATACGATATTGATTGATTTACAAATATTATGCCATCTTGTATCCCTGGAATAAATCCCACCTGGTCATAATGGATAAGCCTTTTGATGTATTTTTGAATTCAGTTTGCTAATATTTTGTTGAGGATTTTTGCATCTATGTTCATCAGGTATATTGGCCTGTAATTTTTTTTGTAGTGTCTTGTCTGGTTTTGGTATGAAAGTGATGCTGATCTCTTAGAATGTGTTTGGAAGTATCCCCTCCTCTTCTACTTTTTGGAATTCTTTAAGAAGGATGGGTATTAGCTCTTTAAATATTTGGTACAATTCAGCTGTGAAGCCATGTAGGACAGGACTTGATAATTTTTTAATTAACATAATTTAAACAGGTTTTTTGTCTAGCATGTATGCAAACCTCTGTGTCCTTATTTGTGCTGTCAGAGAATACCTCCAAAAGTTTTCTATGGAATCACATCAGTTTTGACAGGACATAACACTTGCCAAGGCCATTGCTATAACATAAAATCTTTGTCATCTTTTCAATCCTTACCTCTGTCTCATGTTATTAAGTAGCTAGGAGTGTGATTTCAGCAGTCTTACCATTGGGGTTTAAAAACTGGCTCTACCTTTAACCAGCTGAGTGAACTTTGGCAAATTATTTGCCCTCTGTGTCTCAGTTTATTCATCTGCTTAATGGGAGTAATAATAAAAATCTACCTCTTAAGATGGCTGTGAAGATTTAATGAAATAAAGTTGTATGCTCATCAGCTCAGTTATCTGAGACTGGATTGCCTCATTTTAATAAAGCAATACAGACTGAACATTATTTTATAGCCCATACTCAACTATCACAAGTTTCATTTGATGCCTAGTCCCTTGATTACTAAATCTGGATCAAAGTTTGGGTCAGTGGGTCTGTGTTTATGTGGATACGTTTTTTTCTTTCAGGTTTTTCACATGTGTTTTTTTCAAATGGGAATAATGATAGCTCATGTTTGTTGAGTGCTTACTATGTGCCATATTTACAGTTGTAAGTAATTTACACATATTTTTTATTTCATTTTAACTACCCTTTTGGAGAGGTATTTTATTAATACTATTATCTTCATTCCCATTTTATGATTTGAAAACAGGACCTAAGAGGTCAGGTAACTTGCCTGAAAAGATACATGAATGTAAGTGGTTGAGTCAGGGATGACCCCAAGCAGTCTGGCTCCAATGTCCACATGCTTTTAATCTCTATACAAGACTGTACTTTAGATTTCAGAGATAACTGTTTACTATGTTTCATTATAAGTGACACTATTTAAAATTATTGTCTTTACCTAGAAAGGTATGATGTGATTATTTAGTCAGCATTTTCTGCTTCTCACAAAATAAGAATTTCTACTTTTTAAATATTCTGGTATGAATGACTCTGATCCAACTATTCAGGCTGTTAGGTATGCTCCATCCCACTTCTCAGTCTTACCATACTTTCAAATCTTGGGCCTAGCCCTATTTTCAGAAAACTCTTTGTTAGTGTATCCCTCTCCATGTTCTATTCCAGCTGCATTTGACTTAAAATGCTGCAAAACACTCTGGACAACACCTGGAGTCATCCTATATACTCACTATTATCACCACCATTCATTCAACCAATATTTGTTGAGCAATTTTGATGTACCAGATGGTCTCCTAGGAGGTAGGAATACAGCAAACAAAATAGATAAAACCATTACCCTTATATTATAGGGGAGAGACAGCAAACAAAGGAGAAAAATCATTGATATTTTAGCTGATGATAACTATTGAGGAGAAAAATCAAGTGGGAACAAGAGCTATTGTAGGTGTAAGGAAGTTACAGTTTTATATTGGCCAATTAAGGAAGATATCATTTAAGTGACATTAGAGCAAAGACCTAAGTGATGGGAAGGAGCCAGACATGTAGATATTAGGGAAGGGTGTTTCAGGCAGAGAGAACAAATGTAAAGGTTCTGAGGCAGGAATATGCTTGGCACATTAAAGAAAACAGCAAAAAAAGTCATGATGGCTGGAGCAGAGTGAGGGAAGACTGGGGGTATGTATTAGTCTGCTTGGCTGCAGTAACAAATATCCCCCAAATCTCAGTAAATACAACAAACACTTATTTTTCTTATGTCCTGTGTTGCAACTGTGGGTGAGCTGCAGCTTCAAGTCTTATTGTAGAAAGCAGGCTGAAGGAGCAGCCCCATTTGACACTTTTGTGGCAGAAAAAAATTAAGAGAGCTACCAGAACCATGTAATGCCTCCTAAGTCTCCCCGGCTTTCTGTCCTTTCTGCTTATATTCCATCAGCCCAAGCAAGTTACAAAGCCAATTCTGATAATGGAGGAGGAATGTACATTTGCATGGCAATGGGTGGGAGGTAATAGTTGGGAATACAATAGTTGGAGACAATTATGAAATGCACCACAGTGATCTAGGGCATGTAGGAGGACTTTGGCTTTTACTCTGAATGAGGTGGGGAGCTATTAGTAGAATAAGCTCTTTTAAAAAGGTCATGCCTAACCCAGTGGTTTGTATTACATTTGATTTTCAAAGCCACTATGAGTTTCTAAATAGAGTTTGTGAAAGATAATACCTAAAAATATTGAAGCATTCCGTTTAAATATTTTTTATATTAAAATCACTTATTTTCTTTGGAAATTATCTCACCAATTCCAGAATACCTCTTCACTACCAATGTACTAAAGGACACATTTATACCTTCTGCATTAACAGCAAAGACCTTAAACAGCATCACTTAAAGAGTGATGAGGGAAGCAAGAATGGGGTAAGTCCTCCATGCAACAGTTAAAATCTGTGATAGCACCACTGATTATCAGGAGCATTGCCTTCAGTCATGTCCAGGTCCATGATTACTCTGAAAATGCTCATCACATTTTCCTCCTCCCAACTGAAACAGCTAACTTTCAAGACTTGTCTTTGACTTTTTATGATGCCCCTGTTATTCAGGAGCATAACTACTGCAGATGAAGGGCTAGGTGATACAAATTATAATTGACATGATGCAGTGATTTAAACCATTGTTAGCTTCCTCTCCTCACTTTATTCTGCTCTCATGCACACACCTGCTTACATGTTCCTGTCTGTTACCTCTATAGATGTACTGTACTCCCATTCACAAGATCTTTAATCCTGAGAAGACCTGTGGCACTGGCTGTTTCTCTTTGCCCAGAGTCTTCCTTAGAAATGATTACTTCCCTGAGACTTCTTTAATGAGCTGGCCTTGCCTAGGTGGTCATCACCCTCTTTTCTCTTCCCAAAGTGCATAAGCTTGTCATGTTTGCCTCCCTTTCTTTTTTAAAATAGAGATTTAGAATAAGATCCAAGATGAACATCTTGGGATCCTGATAAATGTGTCTCTAGGAGCTTCTGTTCCTTGGTCAAATTCCATCAAGACCCTGATTAAACTTCAAGGTTCTCCTGGGCTCTGCAGCTATCTTCTGACAAGTATACATCTACCCTGCAAAGGTACATCTATCCTCCAAATATTGTTCCTGTATTTCTGAATTGCCTACTACTTTTGTTTCCCTCCTCCCAACCTACTTCCCTCTTTCCAAGACTGAATATTTACTTATTTCAGTAGATGCTTTCCCATCCCTTCTCCCTTGGAAGGTGTCCTAAATTTCAAGCACCTCTCCCAGAGCCTCCTGTGGGTCAGGCCTTCAACATGTCCTGATAGATACCAGGAGTTTCTAACTGTTTTGTGCCATGAATCACTCTGGAAGCTTGGAGAAACCCATGCATCAGATGAAAACATGGGATTACAAGGGAGGCAGATCATATTGAAATACAATTTTCAAACTACTTTAAAAATTATGATATAATAATGCAAGTGCTTCTTTATTAACACATTAAATAACAAGATATTTATTATTCAATTGCAACCACTAGCAGTGGTCTTAATTACTACCTTAAGTTCGAAGAAGCGATGAGCATAAATAATATATCTATAACATCCATAATGTAAGATGAAAAGAGCTGTGATTTCTTGGTGTGACAAAGTCAAAATTCTTGCTAATACCACTGTGGTTTGTTATCAAATGCATACATTTCAATTAGTGGTTAGTAAAAATAAATGTAACTTTTTTTTCTATCCACAGATTCCTCTCCCCCTGTCCTCTGACTAGATCACGTACATTTAACTTGCCCTCCTACCTCTGTTCCAACCAGAACAGTCGCCCACAGGAAAGGTTTTCACAGCTCTCCTTTTAAAATGCAAACCTTAAGTCACTTCCCTGAATACTGCTCCACACTATGCACACATTTCTCTGCTGGCTTACATCTTACTCACTCTTCAAGGCTCAACTCCAATTCTCTCCTCAAGCCTCCCCAACTTTCTCACTTAGGCTGAAACAATCTTTTTCTCCCTGACAGTTTGTAATCACGCTGTAGTGTAGTTAATTATGCCAGGCCCCTGCAAATGCAGAAGGCCTCAAACTCAAGAGTTGCCTGAAAGATTGCTTTGAATTCACTCAGCATTCAGCATACACTGTGGAGAAGAAGAGAAAAATTATTGAGCAGCAATTAAGTACTGGAGGTCACTGGAGAAATAAGACAAGGTCTTTACTTTCACAGCATTAGTGTTCTCCCATTCATCTTCACTCTAACACCAGCCCTTTCTTGACAGTTTTGGTCATCAAACTATTTTGGCCTATATTAGTCTTTTCTTCTTTGATCCCCTATATCAGGATCATTCTGTTTTCCTTTTCATCCATCCGTCCATCCATCCATCCATCCATCTATCCATCCATCCATTGTTTATGAAGCTTCTAACTATGTGCCAGGTAATGTGATAGATACTGGGAATGTACAACCTGTGAACAAGACAGTACCTGCCCTCACAGTTCTTAGAGTGTGATTAACTGCTCTGCTATTTTTGTCTCTTCGCTAAGCTGGAAGTTCTTTAAAATCGAGGAAAGTTTTGTACATTTTTGTAGTCATTATTTTTCAAGCACATCGCTGGCACAGCGTGTGTTCCAAACGCCCTTGAAAGAGTGAATAAAATAGTTTCCCAAACCTCCTTTCCCATTCAGAGATTCCCTTACCTGATAACTGCCGAACTGGAGGGAAAAGAGGCCGCTTTGCAACACCCTGGAGTAAAACTCCTTCAGATCTGGAGATGGAGTTTGACTTCTCTTTCCGGTACGCAAACCGCAGCCTCAGGTTGTTGCTATGACGCTTCCGTTGCTAAGAGAAAAAAGGAGGTGCCTCTGCTGAGATTGACAAAGCACCACCACCAATACAGTGTCCACTCCGTCGCACTGTTTTCAGAACAGACTTGTGATTGGTTGCTGTGGTGCTGACGTCACGCACCCTGAAACTGTGCGAGACCCGCAGTTTGCCGCTACAAGGAAGGAGTTTGGTATGTTGAGGGCAGTGGCCCTGTCTGTCTCCAGGACTGACAGGCTTGGTTCGTGCCTCGTATCCAAAGGAGGGTCCTTCCAGAGTGTGGTCTCTAGCAGCAGGATATGAAGATTGAGGGCTTGGGATCGCTCAGGGCAGCTGCTCCGCTCACCCCAGCGGCGATCTGGGGCCCTCCCAGGAACCGGCCTTGGATTCTGACGTGAAGGAGAAAAAATCCTGCTTGATTGGGTGTCCCAGAACTTATGATGTGTTTCACTTTCCTTTTGCCAAAATAAGTTTTATAGAGTTTGACTCACACTAGAAGTATGAGTCTCAGGGGAAGAAAATTAAATCCCTCTGTGATTCCAAGGTTTACCTGATCTGTGATTATGGGTCATACGGGATTCATACAGTGAAGCTCATCTCTCTCAACACCATGTCCCCCCTTTTCTTTAAAAAAATGATTGAAACTTCCTGATTTGTAAGCTCGCAGAATTTAAGAAAATTATGCAATTGATCTAAATTAATTTTTAGGCCAAATTTCAATTAAAATATTTGAGAAGCATATAGATCTATAACATCTGAAATTTAACAATCCTAAATAGGATGACTTTACATGGATTGTGGGAAGATCAATTTCTGAAGAATTTGTGTGAGTAACATGCAAATAAATTTTACTAAAGAAATCATTAAAAAACAAAGATAGGAGGAGGACTTACTGTGACACTGTGACAATCTTTTCCCAGGCTCCTCCACTCCCTTACACTGAAAGGTTAGTTTTCCCACTGGGTGCAGTCCTGAGTCCTCTTACTCTTTGCCGTCTCCTGGTGGCATCAGATCTATCCACCTTAGCTTCAACTACCCTTGTAAACCCATCAGTGACTTCTATTTCTGTACTTTCAGCTCAATATGTCATTTAAATTCCAGACCTGAACTTCCTCTACCTATTGGACATTTGCAAATACATGTCTAGCTTCATTCATGATTTGTAATAGTTATTAAAGGTAATGGATGAATAAATGAATAAAGACATTGAATGAATTATTACTGCACTACAGTCTTTTCAACTTACAAAGACAAAAGTCAACTCTAACTTTCAGAAACTTTTTCTCCTCCTTTATTTTGTACCTTAGGTAATAG